TGTACTTTTGTGAAACCTATTTACAGAAATTGTTGTTGATGTAAAAAAGAGTATTGAAAAGCACTGAAGTGCTAACCCTCGGCAACTCGCGCATAGCGTTGTTGTGCTGATGCACTTCAAGACTTGTTGATTGATTAGCTGGGGCACTCCATGTCACGCAGTCAAACCTGGTGACCTGTAGCTTTAACACAGGCTAGCTGCATTTGTTTAGAGCAAAGCTGGACTAGTTACCCATCATTACCTCATCCTCACCTGTTCATTGTATGAGCTAAGCCTGGTCAAGGTACACTGGTACTAATTGTACATAATTGTTGGCTCTTTCGCTAGTTTTCACACCATATCTCACACAGTCGATTGAAAATTATATTTCCCGCACTGGTATGTAGCTCTGAAGCCTTTAGTATCGCCTTCAAGCTGCCTTGTACGTAGCATGTATTTGCACATAGAATAAGCGTTGACAGACAGACAGACAGACAGACAGAGTACTGTACTTTGAAACTACAGTGGCACACGACCCACAATAAAGATTATGCAAGTCATGGCTCCTGCCTGTGACTGTATATGCATAAGTACGTACAATGGCATATTTAATATCCAAAAGAAGGTGCATGATATTTTCATCGATTTAAGTCATAAGCCTGACATGCAGCAATTATCACTACTATATATATTTGTGGGGTAGCAAATGCATGGAAGGTTATTTTACATGTCGATGGTGTCCAACTTGCCCTGTTTTGTGTGTGCATTATTAACACTTGCACAACGGAGAGCATTGCATACTTATACTTACAATCGATTTATGGAACAAATGTCTCAAACTCAATATCACAACACAGGTGTGGATCAGATAATCACAGAGAATGAGGAGCTGATGACTGCCAAGTGAGTCCCTCAATCTGCTACTCAATCAGGCATTACCCGACTACTGTGTTCTCTTCTTGTCTCACAGGAACCAACTGACTAGGGAGGTCGATGATCTCACTACCAAACTCACCAACACCGAAAAGTATTGCTACAGTATATACATAATGTCGGCCACATTGCCCTGTTAATGTAACTGCAGGGGTGTGCAGTAGCCTGAGGTGTATATACTTTGGTAGAGCATTAGGGACATTGCAGCACTGCCTTAGTACCCTACACACACGCGCTTTACATGCAAGTCCTACACGTATGACACACCACCTTACACGTGCTTCTTTGTACACACATACAAGAGCTACGCATATACAAACTCCCTTTTTCCAGTAGATTATGGCTAGCTGTATACAGCTTGACGCTTGTAATTAACTACATAGAGCGCCATGGCGCCAGTTCCACATGCCTGCAATGAGTCTGAACTGTGCAAATCCTTCTCCGGTGACTAAGTCAGGCTCTAATATCTCTGTCCCCAGTGATAAGAGGGCAGCAGAGACGGAGCTGGTGGCGATACAGACTGAGAGAGACGGTCTCTCTGCCAGGACCGCGGCTCTGGAGGGTGAGGTCAAGAGACTCAGGAGAGAGCTGGAAGATGAGAAGGAGAAGACCACTCAACTCAAGGAGGCTGAGGTACAGATCAAGTATATATCAAGTCGGCTCATTATAGCAGAAATGAAAATTGTGTGTATGATGTGTGCCGGTAGTTGAAGTGAAAACACAGCAGCCATCTCTCCTTGTGTGTGTTCCTCACATGATCTTTCAGACCAGTCCTTTTGCATGTCCAACATGCACAGTGATCATTCCATGTAAAGTAAGAAAGGCCTGGGAAGAATAAAAGTATTACCACTTCCAGAAACTTGCCTAAACCTACGACGTACTAAGATTGCCATTGCATGTGTTAAATTTGCCCTTTGTTGGTTTTGTTGCTGTTCAGGAGAAGAATGCAGGAGATGGTCTGAGGCTGACAAAGTTAGAGGTGGCCAGAGTTCTGAGGGAGAGAAATGAGTACAAAGAGAAGTACCTCTCTCTACTGGAGCAAGTCAGGTACGTATATACAATCTTACACCTTCTATGTATAATACTTGAAGATTTTTTCACCAACATCAAAAACTTTCATGTACGTACGTATATAGCTGGTCTTGTGTGTGGTACATTTGTCTATAATATCTAAATGACAATTTTCAATTTTGCTTTATGTGTATCGCAGGATGAACGATGAGTTGTATCTGTTCAAGAAGAGTAAGAAATCATCTCGCTGGGTCGACTAGTGAGTATGAGATTGTTCTATATGCATTGCTTTTCATGGATACTTGGTTTGGCACAATACTGTTCAAACCCTAGGCATTTTTGAGTAGAGAAAGATACCCACTCTGTGGCCCGGTATTTGTAAATTCCATAGAGACAAGATAGTTGAGCTATTACACCCTCCAACTATATTAAATGTATTAGAGAGGGTTGGTTTGTAATTTCGTTTACTCGTGTACCTGCAAAAAATGCAAAACTGTTCAAACCTTAAGGCCTTTTTGAGGGGGGTAAGGGAGAAAGTTACCAGCTATACGATATTCTGCAGTTGAGAAACACTCTAAAGTTCCATAGAGGTGAGATACTGTTGCAATTTCATCCTCCAACTATAGTCAAAGTATTATGGATGTTTGGTTTGCCAGTTTGTTTACTCACGTGCCTGCAAAATATAATTTCAGTTTTTGCGTGTGTATGTACGTGCATATCTCAGTTTGTGGAAGTGTCATTATTTTAGGGGCTATGTCCACACATGTCTCCTACTCAACAGTTTTGCAGCTCTGTTCAGCCCGGCCAAGAGAAGACAGCTGGAGAAGGTGTTGGATGGAACTCCGAGACGACCAATCCTTGGAGCCAGGAACACCCCTGATATTGACGAGGAGGACGGAGGAGAGTAAGTACAGGGAGAGAGGAGGAGTTCTCTCTGGTGTTACGTATGTACGTATGTTGCTGTAGTCTTAGCATTATCATTATGCATCTATATGGTGTGAATCAGCCATGCTTGTGTGGAATTGCTCAGTGTTCCAGACTTGCTTGGTGACAAAGAGTGTACAAAATATTCTGTCAGGATTGGAAAGACATCCTTGGATTTCTCACTCCTCCACTGCCTCTACTCTTGTCATGTGCTGTTTCCAAAAGTTTGGAGTGGGCATGCGCAATAATAACCGGTGTGGTATCTGATGTATACTAATTTCTGTTAACATGGAATCTGAGCCCTGGGAAGTGGTTGTGTAAACTGTTTATACAGGTACTGCATACTTTACGTATGGCATACTTTTCTTATGGGACATACAGCTCTGATACCATTTAGAATGCAGTGAAGCATGTATCATCAATTGCTCCAATTGTGTTAGCATTTTTTACAATGCAAAATGAAGGAATTATGGCAAATGTTCGAAGGCTCAGGTGAAGTCAAATAGACTTTATTGTGAACTGTAAATACCTGATAATCACATTAGACAATGTAAAAAGTGTGACACTGCCCCTGCAGGGCGCCACAGGCAGGTCCGGCAGGCTACTGTATGACCCACACCATCCCGACCCTCCGCAGAGGAGGCAAGAGACAGGAGGAGCTACTGATGACCAGTGTCAGCTGGCTCACTCCTCCCTCCACCGCTCACCACAGCCACCAGTCTGAGCTGCAGACTCTGCCTGCTCCTCTGCTGTCACCTGGGATCAACACTTGTCGTCCCATGAGCTTTCAGGAGGACGGGGCTAAGGTCTATATTGGGAAGGGAAAAATTCGATCACAATTTTTGCAGAGAAAATTTTGCCAATGTCCCACCCCCAAATTTTGGACAAGTCATAATCAATTTTCCTATAAAGCAATAGCAAGTTCATAAGCACATAAAACGAGGACAGTGGCTGCGCTTTGTTAGAGCTGTCATGTCTGGAACTACGTACAACTCACATCATTTCAGCTCAACACACACTTGGGAAGTCCATAATGCTATACCAATTGTGTATACAGTGGGACCTCCGAATAGCGAATATATTGGGACAGCAATTTTTTTTCATTATTCGGAGGTTTGGTTTATTGAGAGGTATAAATATTTAATGGTAAAGGCAGTTGGTACATACGTAGGAATAAGTTCTTTATAGAGAGGTTTTCACTGTTGGGGGAGTTTGTTATCGGAGGTTCCACTGCACATTCTGCTGTGTGTGTAGGTGCTGTGTGTGGCGGCAGTGAACCAAGCGACCTTCCTCTCGGACCACAGTCGGGCCATCACCGTCGCCAAACACGTGACTCCGCCCCCAGAGGGTGTGGCCCTGGAGAAAGGGCGGCCACCTGTCAACATTGGGGTGGAGGGCGAGGGAAGTATGAGTCTTGTGTGGATCATCACTGGAGTACCCCACCTCACCAAGGTACGTCGTATATACTGTTTTCATAGTGGCAACTAGTATAATTGTGGTATGTACTAGTTACAAGCACATGTCTGTTATTCGTGAATCTCAATAATCACCAGGTTCATATCTATACTTGTAATAAATGACACCCAGGGTAGCACATCGTCCACGGCACAAATCGAATTTCGTAAAAAAAATAAAATAAAATAAAAACACTGCTCTGTAGGCATCTTTCATCTTACTTGTGTGAGTTGTTTTTATGTTGTCTTCATTTGGGTCTCCATTTAATGTGTTAACGTGTGTGCAGGTGAGTGTGTTGGATGCAGCAGCGATGGGAGAGATTCTGGAGACGTTCATCGTCAGCTCCACTCCCATAGAGTGCATCACTGGCATCCCTGCCTTTGATGAGAATGATCCCCGACGTTCTCACCAGTAAGTTGTTATATTGTATATTATATCTAAAACGAATGCAACTCCAGAAGAAAACGAGAAAACATGTAGTGCAGACAGCTCTGTTGCATATATTTGTTAATAATGGTGCTCAACCAAAATATTGGTGTAGATTAATTGCATATACATACAACTCATGCACTCAAATATTTGATTTGTGCAGGTCTATCATCTGCCAGGAGGAGGAGATCCAATGCAGTGACAGAGAGCACTCCATCTGTTGAGGAATCGGGTCACCAATCAGACATTCCCTCATCTCGACATGCCACCATGTGGATGGGCTCCGACCAGGGAGTGTGAGTCTAAGAGATATGTACAGTGGGGGGGGGGAAGAAGGGGAAGTGAGGGAGGGAGGCTCTGGCCGACTATGAGGGAGAGAGTAGGGGAGGGGTGAGTGCCTCCGCTAGCCCCCCTAGTTAACCTGTGGGAATTAAGGACAATTGAAATGCAGAAAAAAGGAAGTTTGCTGCAGTGTAGTTGAGGCATTGCAAAGGTTCAGACTAATGTAGTACACCCTCGCTGTGCATGTGAGCCGAGGGTTAACAACCTTGTTATGTAGCTATTGTAGCTATGGTAACTGTAGTGTCAATGGCATGAGAGACGGAAGACTGTGCCATTCTATAGCATTGAAGATCTTCTGAATCCTAGTGTTTACAACTCCTTCAGGTCTTCATGCTGCTAGCTATGGTCACAGATAATAGAGCCCTCATTAGTATAGCATTAGGTAATGAACAGTTTTGTCATTCCTACGTAGCACAGAAGATTGCATACTCTGTAGCTGTGTCTTGTGTTGGTTTAGTAATGTTGTTAACCCTCGGCGGCGTGCATGCGCAGCGAGGGTTACAGTACTTGGTCTGTCTGTCCGTATGTCCGTCTGTTACCACGATTCCTGCCACCACGCGCAGCAAACAGGCCAAAAAGCGACACCAACGGGTTCAGCGCTACACTGGCTTCATTTTAAAACTGGCGACTTTTCGTAAAAGTACCGCGTTCAGAAGTTATGGCGTGAAAACCAAGTGAACAAGCCAATATGCAAATTAGCACGGGCTTACCTCGAAAAGATGTGCTTGCTCTGCGTACCTTGGAGGCACAAGACGTCACAACGAAGGGTGTGTATCGACTCCCGCATGCTATCTACTACTGTAGCTAGCCCGTGTCAGACTCTCCGCGAGCTACTAGCGGGAGTAAACGTATACTAGTATAATAGGCCCAGCCCATCAATTAGCGGTACCGCGCATGCGCAGTGCGCCGAGGGTTTGCACTTTAGTGCTTTTCATTAAGTTTAGTGACTTCGTTGGTTACGTAGGACTTCCGTTATGAGCATTCCAAAGGTTCATACTAATGTTTGTAGTACACCCTCGCTGCCCATGTGCACCGAGGGTTAACAGCCTTGTTACGAATCCTGCTGCTAGCCAGTGTAGCTATAGTAACTGTAGGCCTCACCTAGTATCAATGGCATGAGAGATGAAAGGCTGTGTCATTCTAGGGATAGCATTGAAGATCTTCCGAATCATATAGCTATGGTCACAGATAATGGAAACCTCACTAACTCTAGCTATACTTATATAATCTGTCTGAGGGAATGCACAGTTATGTCATTCCTAACACAGAAGATTGCATGCTCCAGTAATGGCAGTGAATCCTTATCCTTATTGGTTTATTAACGTTGTTAAGTTTGGTGACTTCGTTGGTTACGTACGTAGGACTTCCGTTACTTAATTATGTACTGGCAAACAGGGCATTCCAAGCGGCATTCCAAACCTCTGCTATATTTCCTATACTACTGTATGTGTGGTTGCATGTGTGTGTGTATCTGCAGGCTCTATGTCCATTCTGCTGTGACTCAGTGGAGGAGATGTATTCATGCCGACAAACTTCCATCCGCCATCAAATCTATTGTGTTAGTACATAAGGTTACAATACCTATTGTGTGTATTGTTATGCATTGTTATGCATAGTCCACGGCACAGTGTGTACGACACATACATAAAACGAAAACTATTGAATCGATGCTGAGTTCTAGTATTCCAAGTTGTGGTTGCATTACAAATGTAGTAAATTTTAGCCAATTCCCAACTGAACGGAAGGTTTTGGTCTATGCGGTGCTTCATGAGGTTAATAGCAATGTTGGCCTTTTGTCAGTGGAACCCAGCATTTCAGCGCTAACTGGACTGAAATCCATTGTACTATCCAATTACATAGTTTAAATCTGGAATAATATTGATTCTTATTGTTCTGCTCATCCCAGACACATCAAGGGCAAGGTGTTTGTTCTTTTGGCCAATTCAAGTGTGGCTGTCTTCAGAAGGTTTCCAGGTAAACGCACTACATATATGTACGTACAACGTTCTGTCTTATCTAAATACCCCAAAGAAAAAAGAACTATAAACAGAGCGTCAAATTTTTAAAGAAATTTCCCAGGAGGTGGTGAGGTGTGCACACCGTAGCATGCCATTACACAGTTAAGCGTAAACAAGAGCAGTCGCACCCGCAAGCATTTACACTTTAGAGCGCTGTTCCGCGCAAACGTAGGTGTGTCATTGCGCAGTTGTGCGCGAACAAGAGTTTGCTGACAAAACACTCTGCGAAATACCGCGAGCGTATAGAATACGCTGGTTTGCGGGTGGGGCACACCCATCACGCGTTACTACGCGCGGACCCTCAGTCTGCATCAATTGGCATGACTTCCTGCTTGGTGTTCTGGCAAAATTTCATGTGCACATTTTTACAGGGCGTCAGTCAACGTTCATTTGACTATAATTTCACTCCAACAGATGGAGAATGGGACTGGGACAACTACTCGGTGGTGTATCTGACTCAGAAGAAAGATCTCCCCGTTACTGCCATGGCCTCCGTCAAATTCAACGTCTGGTGTGCCATCGGAAATTCCATCCACGTCGTACACTCCCATCTCCTCAAGATGGAGGTCTGTTGTGTGCACATGTCTGTAGATTTTAGGTGAATGCTACAATCCGTGAAAAAGGTCTAAGACAACCGGAGAGCATGGCATGGCTTGCATTTTGTTATTCAGAGAGAGGCGAATTAGCCATACTGAATACCTTTGCATTGGGTGTGACTTAGCCTACCCTTCTTTTAAAAAAGCAACTGGTTGGAATGACAGTCAAATGAACCACCTTGACTTTCGCTTGAGCATGCAGTGCAAATGTAGAAAATAGGTGGACTTCTAAACTGGTTGTTAAAATCGTATTACCCATCAAAATCTCATTCCTTCAGGCAACATTTGCAGTCCACTCTCGTAAGAGGTCAGAGGTGGGTGGCCTGGTAGTTGTGGGGGAGGGGGTGTGGATATCGTTCAAACAAGACTCCACCCTACGGCTGTACAACGGTACCACCTTCAATCACATGCAGGACCTCGACATTGCCCCTGCCATTAGGAGGAATATTAGTAAGTGTACCATTTACCAAAGGATCAAGGATCAGTCATGGGTACTAAGGACTGGACTGCAAAACGTATATACTCCCTAGGCACATAATACATTCATTTACTTCTTGACACCTAAAATAACAGTAAAAATTTATGAGCTAGCAAAATCGAGAACCTGCTGTACAGCGTTTGGAGGAGAGAAGAGGTCTCACGCAATGGCCATCCAGATCAGCTCCCTTGTGGCTGCCCACAACTGCCTGTGGGTGGGGACTGAAAACGGCATTCTCCTCACATTCCCATTCAACGCTCCGTCCGTTGTGGCAGAGGAGACAGGCTGGGAGGTCATCAAGGTTAGAATATCAGTCTTTGTGTTAAGCAGTTTAATTCTTAATCTATGCGTTACAACATACGCCAAAGTTTAGTAGTCCTGTTCATGTATTATTCACCTGTTTTTGTGTGTGTACCCTTCAATGGCAATAGTCCAAGGATCCTATTGGAAGTTCGCCCTACCAAAATAAGTGTCTTTCCTTTCCATTGTGCACTATTTTGTCTGCCCCCTTCATCCCCCTTCTTTCACACTTTTTCTTTCTTCATATACGTATACCTTTTCTATTTTTTCCCCTCCAACAGGAGGCTGAAGTGATAGGAGGCACTAAGCCTCCAGAGCCGTTCGATGTCCGAATGGAGCATGCGGAGGAGGCAAGTGGTCTCTTGACTCCAGATCCTCCGACTCCTCGGAAACAACCTCCTCGCTCTCCTGTCCGCAGTCTCCAGAGCAGCATCACATGTACGATGATTACAATTATACAGCGTTTTTAAAGTGGAGTGGGCAAAATCCCTAGTAAATAGGTGCATTTACTTAGGTGGTGTTAACAACAGAGTTTCCTACGCATGAAATGAGGGTAGTGTTTGCTTATAATGTCTTGTTCTCTAGATGAGCTACATAAATTATGTGAATGATCAAATTCACTCTCTCGTTATCCCTCTCTTTCTCCCTATTCCCTATTCCCTTTTTACCTGTTCTTGTTTTTCCTCATCTCTTTCTCCCCCTCCCTCTCACGCCCTCTCCCTCCCCAGCAATAATCAGTAAAGTGGGCAGTACACCAGCAGCGGCAGCAGAAGAGTCACCTCTTCCTCCCTTGCTCGAGTTTCAGTCTGAACAGCAGCAGATGAGCCTGTCTTCTCCGCCTCACTCCAAGCCGTTTCACCCGTTCTGTGAGGTGGATCAGTCTCAGATCTCCATCCACTGCCATATCAATGCCATCAGTGCCCTCATCTGTGTTCCCGGGATGGTGCCTCAGAGCGTTGGTACGATTAATTCTTGAAATTACTTATTATTTGTGACTGGCTCTGGGAAAAGGTACCACTGGGCTCAAAGATTCAAAATTGTGTTAGCGGTAATACATTTTTGGCGAGTTAAGCAAGCTTACTACGCCATCTGATGACAATGGCACTGTCACACATGCTGTTCGTTGTATACGTAAGTAAACAAAATAGTAACCAATTTTGTGCCGCCCATGTGACCCACATTTGCTCACCAAAAATGGTTCATTCTAGTATTTTGTAGGGACTCCCAATACTTTAGCCAAATAGGCTAGTGTTTATGCTTGGTACCAAAAATGCATTCGTTCGTTTGAAGGGACTCCCAATACTTTAGCCAAGTTGGCTAGTGTTTATGCTCGGTACCAAAAAATGCGTTTGAAGGGACTCCCAAAACTCTTAGATAGCGTTCATACTCTGTGCAACTAAAGGCCACAGTTACACCCATGCTTTCTCTTACTTACTGTACATACGTATAACCTGGTGCCGTTGTTTTGTTCCTGCAGCAATTGTAGAGCCCCTGCAAGGAATAGTGGTGGGTACAGGGGACACGTCCAAACTCAAACCAGCTCTCTTTGTGGTCAGCTCGTGCCACTCGACCATTTTTTGTTCCGCAGCATTTCGTAGATCCCCTGCAAGGAAATAGTGGTTGGTACCGGGGACCCTCCAACTCACCAAGCTCTCTTTGTGGTCAGCTGCGGAGAGGGCCACCTCGACCTCAGAACTGCTGACAAGGTTAATATTCTGCACCACAGTAGCTGAGCATGCAGTATGCCTGTACTGTGGCCGAGACCTGAGAGCAAATGCAACTAAAGAAGTCGATATCTCTAAAGTGAGTAAATATAGAGTTACGGGGTATCATGTCATCCCGTGTAAAATAACGCGAGTAAAAGCGGCAGGGACGGTGACGGCCACGGAATATCGCACTTTTATGCACTCAAGTGGGAAGTCATGGCATCAGACTGAGGGTCCACGTGTAGTAACGCGCGACAGGCGTGTCCTGCAATTCATAAACCCCACGGTAATTCCGCGAAGTGTTTTTTCAGCAAAGCTTGTTAGCGCACAACTGCACAATTACCCCACCCACTCTTGTGGCGGAACAGCGCTCTAAAGTTTAAAAAATCCTTGCTGTGCGAACACGCTTGTTAAATACGTAACCGTGTAATGGCACCTCCACGGTTTGCAGAATAGTTGTAACAACGCGTACGTAAAAACCACCCACTAAATAATGCGCCTATCCCTGAGTTTGCATAATAATTAGCTAAATATTCTCCTTTACTAATTAACCCCCATTCACACATTTTGCCTCATTCTTCCCAAACGCCGCCTGAACTGTTTTCAGATATTTCCAAATGTGAAGGCACTCTAAGTGTCCCAAACAGAGAAAAGCGACATCATGTAGCTCATAGGTCTCTGCTGCATATTGTCCAGGTCCTGGAGACTCTTGCAGGCTAAGGAGTCGTGCCAGTCGGTCGGCCAGAGCTGCCTCCATCAATCATGATAACTACGTTATGGTCTGGGATGTGATGACCTAGGGTGGGTTTCCTGATAACTCTCCTTTTTATTCCTTACTGGCAAACCTTTATTTTGTAAAACTCTGTACGTTTACGTGTATAATCTCTCATTTCTCCCCTTAATTCAATGCATAATGTGTATTGACTACTTGATCGTTATCCACTGCCACATCTCAAGCTCGTTCAATATACCTCTCTTTTGCCTGAACTTATGACCCCTAATATACGTAATTTAAAACTGAACTGACGTGTTCGCTTCAATACTCTCGCCCCTCTTTGGTCACTCAATATCAGTTGTCGAGTTAGCCTGTGTGTAGAAAATGGCAACCTTAAACTATAATGTCTATGCTTGTTTCCTACATGCGGCACATAATATTGCACCCCCTTCTTTTAGTTGTGTATAGTTTTCGTGTATTCATGGCTACTGTCCTCGTCCTCGCTTGAAGACAAGCTTTCATGGGTTCTCGACGTGTGGTACAAGAAGACCTTCAGCACTTATGGAACCTCCTGCTTCTGTCAGCGTCAAACAAATCGCAGCAGGATCTAAATTAAATAAGGAATAACGCTTGGGCCCCTAAATATGGTTCGCTATCCTTCATCATAAGTTTATGATTATGATAAGAAAGAGAGTGTAAAGTTATGTCCACCCTGGACAATAAGACCACAAGATGACGATCCTTCAGGAAACATCTCATGGATATGTAGCTACCTCACCATGGGTCACCGAAACTGCAACAGTGTCTAGACAACTTTCAAGACTGACACAGGGAGCCACTGGATGAATTCAAATCCTGCATGAGAACAGGATATCTATCGACTAAACTGCACAGAATACCATGCTGCCCATCCTCTGGCTTAGTTCTAAACAAGTCACCTAATACAATTGTACTAGGTGTGTCAAGTGCACAGTAACAGAGAATCACATATGTTTTGTCTTTTTACTCCATCTCTTATAATCCATCCTCCATATCATTGGAACCAAATCTTGTGCCTGTTGAAGATAAGTTCCTTGAATTTACTTGACATCTGTTTAGCATAACAGGTGGAATTGAGTTAAGACGTACATCTTAACACAATGCATGTTTCCATCTCAATGCATTTTAAATAGGGTAATCTTATGGGACTAATAACCTGTTATGGTGTGAGGTTGTTTCTGCAACCGGTTTGCAATCTAAGATTCCATTTGCAACCACTATGGTCAGTGTGCATTGATTATTTTAACGGAATAGGCTGGCGAGCAGTACAGGAGATCACTCCGAGGCTGTTGACTATCCGGACGAGGGCGTAGCCCGAGGCCGGTATATAAGGACTTCCTGTCGCAATACTGATACCAGTGCAGCCCGCAGCCCCACTCAGAATACAGCGTAATTCCCTAGCACCCGGGTTG